TTTTTTACTCGGTTATTTTAGCCAAATTTTCGTAGCAAAAACTTGAATTGTGATTCCGTCGATGGTCTGAATTTTCAAATATAAACCACATTTCGTCTACAAATGAACACCATTTTTTCTTTTTTGAGAATAACATGTTTTTTTGTAACTTTTTTTGAGAATGTTTTTTCCAACTAGTTACTCTTTCTAAAATACTCGTACTTATAAAAATCTAAAAATACCCATACTAATATCAATATCAGCAAAAACAATTTTTTAAATCATTTTCTTTGAGTCTCTTGAAAATTTTTTTTCCTGATAGTCCAAAATACTGATAATCTCAATTTTTAACTGTTTAATTTAATCAAAATTATATTAAATTAAAAAATATATATAATAAATATTTTGATATACATCTAACTATTTAAAAATAAAAAATTATTAATAATTCATATTTAGGGGGCCTACTACGGAAACTCCATTAAGAAAAATCCATTAACATTGTTTGATCCACTTACAAATTACAATAAACATGTAGCAAATAGAGCAGAGTTAACAAATACTCAAATAACAGTGTGTATCGTTCTACACTCCCAACTCTCTCTCGTCGTTCTTCTTTAGAGAGAGAGAATGACGATGTTTCACTTCTTCAATTGTGCGATTCTGACGTTCGGCCCTCACGCCGTCTACTATTCCGCCACTCCTCTGTATGTCTCTCTTTCTCTCTTCTTTTTCTGAATTTCCAAATCTCTTTTTCCTGTTACAGATCTTTTCGCAGATCTTTTGAGATCTTCAATCTCATTTTCACGTCTCTCTACTAAACCCTAAATCAATTGGAAAACTAAATTCTTCAATCTAATTGTTAATTTTGTTCCTGTGCAATTTCTATCTGTTAATTCGAGTTTCCGAAATTTGGATTCTCTCTGATTTAACAAGTATTGTTCGATTGCAGATCCGAGTATGATACTCTCGGTACCTCCATTAAAGCTGCTATTGTTTATCTCGGAACAGCTTTAGTCAAGGTTGGTTTTCATCGTTAATACTTTATATTCTTTAATAAATACTACCGCTATGCTACGACTTTTTTTTTTCCTTTAAATGATTTTCTTATTTAGAAAACTTACTTTCTTTCAATGATTTTTATATCGTTTCTACATTACTCCTTTTATGTAGTAACTTTTTTTTTTGTGTGTGGGTAATTACAGCTTGTATGTCTTGCTACGTTTCTGAAGGTATCTGAGACTGACAGCTTTGATCCTTATCAGGTAATTCAGTTTATGTTTGCTTAGATTATTTGCATTATACTTCTTATATGCTTCTATATGGGCCGTTTTAGTTTGATACCACAGCTTTATGCGTTTTTATTTGAGTTAGTTTTCAACGGTTGACATGAAATTTGATATAACAAGTTGGATGGTCAGATAGTATTGTTAATGGTTGTTGAAAGATTATTTTTCAATAGGGTGGATGGTGTGTCCGAAAAGTATCGTTATAGAATGGAACAAGAGATAAGACGTCTTGCTATGTGTTTTAAATATGCGCTATTACCCATTTATGTGGATCTAATGATTTGTTTCTGTTTGAAAGAGAACATAGTGGTGAAAGGTATAGCCTCTTAGAGGGCCTTGAATGCTTGAACTCTTGTTTAGTTTTCTCTATCAAGACACCACAAATTCAGATATTGATTCTCATTACGCATTCACCATGATACTTCATATGTAGTCCAATGGAGGATTGAACAATGGAAATGAAGTGAAATATTACACGGTGAACGTGTGACTGTTGACAGGATAAGTTGTTGAAGGGTTCCTTTAAAAAGGCTTCTATTTGCATGCAAAAATAATGCTCTTCCGTAACTTCTTTTGTTCAGAAGGAGCTTCAATCGCATAGAAATCAATTCATGGAGCTTTAGTTGGAGTTACATCTGTCTAATCTTGTCTCTTTATTTGCAGGAATTATTGAAAGCGTTAATTGGTTTTGTAGACGTTGCTGGCCTTTACTTTGCGCTGACTCAATTGACACATAGGAACATCTCCCAAAATCATAAGTTTCAAGCAGTGGGACTAGGTGAGGAAGACCTGATGAATTCTGTAAAGAAATTATTGCATGTTCTATGATATTTTTGTTGGGGAGCATATTTCTAACATTTGTGGCGGCTGTTCCCTTGTTGGCACTTGGCAGGATGGGCCTTTGCTGATTCTGTCCTGCACAGATTGGCACCTCTTTGGGTGGGTGCTAGAGGGTTGGAATTCACTTGGGATTACATTTTGCAAGGCCTTGAAGCGAATGCTAATTTGGTAAACTTATTTTCTTCTTGTTTTGACTTTTAATATTAAGTTTATAGAGTTTGGAACTGTACGCAAGTACTATTATTTTTGTTAGTTAAGTTGCATTTGTTAGATATATTTTAGAGTGAGATAACCTATCAGATTTTTGCTTCTTTCTTATTCAGGTGTTGAGCATATCCCTTGCTGCTTTAGGTTCTTTGATGTGGCTACGGAAAAACAAGCCCAAGACTTTAATTCCTATTATATACTTATGTGCAGGAATTGTTGCAACCATGCCATCCATCACAAGGTTTGGCATTTCTACCATTGTTAACTTTGTCATAGCTATTACCTTTGCTTTTATCTATGCCACTGTCTCAATACAAATGTCGAATGATGATTCATTTAATAGCCTGTGTCCTTTTTTCCTTTGTGAATTGTGGTAACCATGTATGGGCATGTTTTTTTATTTGCCACTATGATGTGTTCTTGGTATAAACATGAATAGGCACGCAGATTCAAGTATGTTGGATATAAGAAGACAATTGCCCTCGTCTTTGTTGTAGCGTTCCTTTGATTATGGCTCTCGTGGGCAGAATATTAGTGTCGTCTCTTATATGATGTTGTTCTATTCATTTATTTATTTAGGTTTTTTTTTTTTTTTTGTAGGAATGTTTCTTAAATATGTTTTCTAATTATTGTTTATGCAGTTATCTGAGGCGAGGTCTGGGGTGGCACCTACCAAAGGTGGTTGGCTTTGAACTCTTCACTTCTCTAGTGATGGCTTTCATCAGTTGGCAGCTCTTTTCTGCGTGTCAGAGACCCTCTACATGAGGAATACCGTTATCGATTGCCCCTAGGATCGGATTCTTTAATCAAATCAAGAAAGGGTGTGGTTGTCTCAGTTAAATCAAAAGTTTTTTTTTTTTTTTTGGAATATTGCTATGGTTCACTTTGAATTTCCAAAATTTTGTGTAGGATGAACAGGCTCCTTGACATGTACAAGCTTAGATACAATTTTTATTTTTCTCCGTTGTGACTTGATATAAAGCAGTACTACTAGTGAGAGAACCTTATCAGGAATTTGTCAACTTTTGTTGCTTAGTAGCAAGGCAATTGACTCTCTGTTTACCCTCTGCGATCGAAAACGTTATTATTGATGAGCTAAAATGGAACTGAAAACAGAAATCCATGGGCCATTGCTGATTGCTCGGTGTGGCCATTTGCAATTTGCCTGCGACTGTTTAGTTGGGTTCCAAAATCGAATTATCACACCGATTTATTTTGTTTAGAGATCAGAATCACATCTTGTAAACACCGCACACAATCGCCAGCGAAAAAAAAAAAAAGGTCCGAGACTATATGTGTGTGTGTGTGTGTCTATGTGCGCGCGAACTAATAGGACTAGTAGGATTCCAAAGCCTGTAGATATCAATACGTAACGAGAAAGCGAGAAGATCATCACTGGAAATGGATGCAATGCAAACAACAAAAAGAGAAAAGAAGAAAGATGAGAGAAAAATCTCGGAGCCCCAGTGTGGATAATCTCACAAATAGTTTTTGAAGTTTTACCTCAATTTCATTTTAGTCTTTAATTTTTCAAACGTTGCACAGTTGGTCCCGGAGATTTTATACTATTTCTTTCGGTCCTTTTATTATCTTAGTATTAAATATTTAACGAAATTTATATAAATTATAGACTAAATTGGAAACATATAAAGTTTAGAGATAAATAATACAAAAAATTAAAAAGTTAATTTCCACAAATATACCTAAAATTTTAACTGTTTCTAATTTTAGACTCTAATTTACACATATTTCATCAAATTTTAACCCTTAGTTGATGGAAGGACCAAAACTGAAACAGAATAAAACCTCAGAGACTATCTGTGTGATATTTAAAAAGACAAGGACTAAAGTGCAATTGAGTATAAACCTAAATGACCATTTATAGAATTAACTCTATCTAATTAAATACACCATTAACTCCCAAAATAATGATGTAAAATTAACCAGTTTTAAAATGAAAATTATTCATTGCAGCTAACTAAAGATGACGAAAAAAAATAATAAAATAATAAAAAAAATTCATACATTCAAAAACGATGAAACAAGAATCACAATTCATTGATTTTAAAGAAGTTGATAGCATTTTAATGTTGCGAGAAATATAAAAATTTTTAAAATGGACACTTCATCTAATTACTTCAGCTATAAAGGGGACATTATCATGCACTAATGGTTTTACTTTGCCCACTTGGACAAAGAATGTGCGCAAGTCTTGCAACTTAATCTGCCTCTCAGCACTCAAATAGAGTAAATCAACCGCTACCTCAATAGTCAATAGGCGAAGTTCCTCTATAAATCGAAAATAAATGTCACTAACAATTTCAACCTACCAGATTATACTAATTCATAGCGTAAGATAAAGACCTGATTACCTGTTCCATTTAGATGATGCTCAAGATTTTTAATGCAGAAACAGATTCTATAACTTGTTTCCATAATACATACTACATACTAACTAGTTAAGATTAAAAGAACAACAGTACTTAATTAGTTAATAATCTTGAGTACCGCAAGCAAGCAAGCACGAGTAAGCAAAGTTACAACAGCTGCAAACCAGTCCACTAGAACATTACAAAGCTGGTTGCTCACTTGACACTCCCGATTAATCTGCTTCGAGCAATTCATCATTCTCAATCTCGACAATCTTGCTTGATTTTCTTCCACGCTTGCCTGATGTTGGAGAACCAACTGGAGTTAGAAGAGCAACCTCTGGGACAACCCGGAAAATTTTGACATCCAGGCAAAAGGAGTTGTTCACAGGACTACCGGGTTCGAAAACACAGACATCAAAGTGTTCCAAGTTGTTGTCCACGGCAAAGTGCTTCCAACCAGAAGTAAGTCCCGCGCAACTGCGTACTTGGTTGTAGTTAAACCTGGTACGCCACTCTCTCTCCCCAAACCGTAGAAATAGGTCTTGATTTTCCAGAGAGATATATTTTGCCACCCAGTCCGAAGGGAGGAACTGATCAGAAAACATAATAAATATGAACAAAATTAGAGACCCAACAGTAAAGGAACTAAAGTTGCAACATTTATATTTTTTGCTTTGCTAATGCTGAAAACAGGGAAGGTGAGTAGTGAAGACGTACAATTTTGAAGATCCTGTGCAAGGTAAAAATACATGGGAAATAAAAGTTTACCACATAGAATCTCTTGTACACATATGTAGGTTTCATGACTACAAGTAAGCCCTCATTATTTGATTCTGAGATTTCTGCTTCAGCCAACTTCATGGCACGGTCTTTCTCATCTTCAGTTATGGGCCTTCTATTGGAGACATACTGCATGCTATATCCCCTTCTTCTGGTCGGCGTATGTTCAGCGTCTAAATCATTGGCAAATCAAATTAACAAGGTTAACTGCATTCTCGCAAAGCAACAAAGGCTCTATACTTTCCATACTAACAATCACATGTTTTGAACATTGTTGGTACAACCACGAGTTTTAAGTAAACCAATCAAGCAAATTTGCTTACTACAGAAGTTGAAGTCAAAAAACTGCCTAAAAAGGAAAATATTTGTAAATTATTAGTAGGAAATGGGTGCAATCATGAAATGTAAGCAAATAAATACCAGATTTGGTCACCGGTTGCACTTGCACTTGCACTTGCACATCGCAAGGAGAAGATTCATTTATTGTTGCACTGCGGCAGCTCCTAAGGGGGCGAACAGCAGTAAGCTTTTTGCGACCTTTATTGTTTGTACTCAGGGTGATGACTTGCTCTTCTGACGGTAACACGATAATGTCATCATCCCTAGACTTTTCAGGTGAAGCGCATACAACATTCTCTGAACACGCATTGTTGATTTCATCGCAAGACGTTTCCCTCAATTTCCTCTTCGTCAGTCTACCACCATTATCAGTTTTACTATTCTCATGCTTCTTCACAAAATATGTTACCTCCTTCTCACACAAACTGTGCCCATCAAATATCAAAACCTCGAAAAGTGACTCCCCATTGTATCTGAAGACCAATAAATCATTCTCCACCAAAAAATGATCATTCACAAACTCTTGCCAACCATGTTTAAAGAACATGGAATTGCCCACGGTCGTCAATCCTACCTTCCACATACCACCACCAGGACCTTTAAGGGTCACAGAATCAGGCAATTTCTTTTTCTCAGAAAACTTTTTAGGGATGGCCTGCAATTTTAACCACAAACAATCAGAAATAAGAATGAGGCCTTGGGAAGAAAATCCAACCTTTGAAAGCAACAAAAAAGCAAATGATGTTAGAATTAGCTAATATAAGAATTTTCTAAAATGTGAGAATACCAATTCTAAAAAACTGAAATCATAAAAGTTGTATAAACAAAATCCAGCTGAGTCCATAAAAGAGCACGGTAGATTGGTAGTGAAATCATGTTTTAAAGTGAAAATTCTTAAACCCAGAATACAATCACGTTTATCGTTTCTGGTTTTGCAATATGTTAAACCCAGAACACAAAAACCTCAACGATATTAGTTCCAAGTAGATTATCTTTAGACGCCTTATACAGTTTTCATACTGACGTGCAAAGTAAAATAAAAAGAAAGAAAGAAAGGGAAAATAAAATTTACCAGCTGCTGATGAAAATCATCGAGCAGAAACTGAGAAAAATGGATGTGTTTAAAATGGGCCCAATAGATATATTCTTCCCATTTTGAGCCCTCCATGCGCGGTTCTCCCGTTCTTAAGAATCTGCTGATCTCAAGTTAAAACCCCAAACTTTGAGCCAAAAAAATCAAAGGCAAGCAAACAAAAGAGTTGGTGATAACAAAGCCAAACACGATAAATCAAACCAATGTCGTTGAGATCTAAATATACCTCGACGACAAAAATATAAAAAGAAAAAGGTCGTAGCTAAACTGAGAGAGAGGAAAAGGGAAGTATCAGGATTAAGAATTAGAAGGGTTCATCTTCAAATTTATTAAAAAAAAGGAAAAAAAAAAAAAAAAGCCTTGATAAGGATGAGAATTGAGAGCAACAGAATAGAGTGATCTCTAATTCTCCATAAACAAAAAAACAAAAACAAAAAAAAACATTGCTGGGTCTTGTTGTGGTTGCTGATTCTTTTTTTTTTTTTTTTTTTTTTTTGCGAAAAAGAAATAAGAACTAATTGTGTTATGCCCATATTATCGTACACTTACAAGAGTTGTGAAAATGGAAGAAGAATTACTCCAAATCCGAGAGCTTTTACCTCTGAAAAGAAAACTGACGCTCTTTTTAAGGTCTCACTCTCGGAAGTACCGAACTACCGATTATGAAGAAAGAATAGGCAAGTGATTTTTGCTAAACAGGCCAGTTAGAGTTAATGACATGTTTAAGTAATCGGAATAGATATAATTCGGAGTGGACAATAATCACAATTAGAATAATGTTTATTTAGGTTTTATGAATTGGAGTTAGAATCAATGTCAATCTTATTCATATGTTTACTTCCGTTCAAAATTAAAATAAATTATTATAAATTTACTTACCTATTCTTTCAGTAGATTTTTATGTATTAAACTTTAAAAAAAATTATATATTAAACTAACTATCTTAATATTCAGATAACTAATTAGTAATTAGATTTTTAATCACCAAAATCAAAATAAATTATTATAAATTTACTTATCTATCCTTTCAGTAGATTTGTATGTATTAAACTTTAAAAAAAATTGTATATTAAGCTAACTATCTTAATATTCAGATAACTAATTAGTAATTAGATTTTTAATCACACCTAATTAATCATCTAAATTAGGATAACTAATTAGTAATTATATTTTGTTAATCACTCTCTTCTTTCGTGCTAAAATTGAGACATAGTTACTATACATTATCAACATATAAAATTAGATTTAACATTGTATTGCATATTATAGAAAATAGAAATCAGCTTAAGATATAGATTGAAAAATGAAAGCAATAGGCATAACACAAAAATCAAAAGGCTCATTTAGTTCGCTGATTCGAGTTTTTAATTCGAGTTGAGATATGACTTTATGTGAGAGCTTTTTACTGTAGCAAAAAAGTTAGATATAACTATTTCTGAGAGCTTTTTACTGTAGCAAAACTTGAATTCTAAACTCGAATCGGTGAAATAAATGGATATAGAAAACATAAATCAACTTAAGATATAGATTGAAAAATGAAAGCAATCGGCATAACACAAAAATCAAATTATAAGCATGATATCTTCGTTTCATTTAATTATTTGCATTGGTATGAATTCGTCCATGGCACTAATAAGAAAGAAAGAAAAGAAAAAAAAATATCAGAGAAAGTGAATAAATAGATACGAGAGACGTTAAAATAAATTAAGAGATTTTTAATTTTTTACTTTTTACTTTTCTATTCACAAATTTATTAGTAGAATTAAAGATAAAATCGTAATTAACGCTTACTATTAAAATTGAGAGTGTCAATCTAACGAGGAATGAGAGGAGTATCAATTTTATTCCTCAACCTCAAATTAGTGTGAAACCATACATTTTCACTCTTATTTCAAAATAAAAATAAATATACATAAAATTAATTCCGATTCCTAAATTTCATTCCTCTTGCATATTGTTCTTGTTGGTGAATGGCGACTTCTTTTGCTCTTTTTTTTAAATTAAAAAAAATTGTTCTTTTACAGCTTGAGCTCAGACTGACGGTCAGAACTTAGGAGTAAGAAAGAGGCCGTACTAGTACACGACCTTTTGGTTGTCGCGATTAATCTCAACCTGGTTGGGTGCTTTTCTTTTTTCTTTTCTTTTTTTTTTTTACCAAAATATTAGTTTATGCCTTAAAATATTTGCAGTTTTGCATAGATCAGCTGTTGATTTTTGAGCTTTTTCGCAGCCATTCGTTGGCTTTTTTTTCTTTTCTTTTCTTTTCTTTTTTTTTTTTGTTACAACTTGATGGATTTTCTGCGAAATGAAATCTAATTATGGAGAGATATTAAAAAGTGAAAAACTAGGAAAATATGAGGAATTAAGGCCATGTTCGTTTACTATAACTCACTCAAGAAAGGCCCACTCGAGTGACTTTTTTATTTAAGTTTGGGTTCGACATTGCAGAACTCAAAACATAACTCAAAAATTAATTCGAGTTACCTACCGTTTCTTGAGTTCTGCTTAGCCCCTGCTACTCGAGTTGCATCTCTGCATTTCTACAGTGCAGATTCTTGAGAGATTCTTCTCACCCATCTGCGCTTCATGCTCACCATCGCGCTGATTGCGCTCTTCTTTCTACACTACCTTAGATGCGTGGGTCTGCTCCTTCATGGAATAACTAGGGCTGTAAGAAATCACTCCGAACCCGACCGAGCCGAACCGACCCTACTCAAAAATCACGGGTTTCCAATTTTTATTTAATTTCTAATTTTAATTATGCCTAACCCGCACTGCACGGGTAGGGGCGCGGGGTGGGGTTACATGAACCCGAGGTAACCCTACCCGGCCGAACATGTTTAAAGTAGGTAAAACAATGTCCAACACTTCAAATTCTTACTTTCATAAGTTTATGGACTTTATGCTTTTAAACTGTTAACTTATTTATGTTTTGGATTCATGGTTTGTGCAAAAAATGTTTGTATGCCATAGTTGTTGAATTAGGACATTCTTTATTTATATTAGAAGTGTTTGATTTCAAAGTGAGTGTTTTAATTGTTCACCTTGCATTTAGACCCCCTATTGAAGGAAAGACATGTTCTGTTTGATAATGATTTCTTACGTAACAAGCACAGATTAATTGACTAAAAAGTGATCATGTGATCCTTGAGATCACTCTTGCTTTATGCATATTGTGATAATTGGAAAGGTTCGGCCATGCTTACATTTGGGGAGAAGATGCAAAGTATTTTCAGCCAGTATGAGTTATTAGTCTTTATATTTATTATGCCGCAATTTTGTTGCGTAATTATTTACTACAATAGTATTTACATATATCATTTATTGCTCATTTACTACTCATTTACTACAATAGTATTTTATCATTTAGTTGCATATAAGAGCCTCTTAGATTAAAATTGATGAAGTCATAGATTAAAATTAGTTTTCACCAACCCGAGTAACCTGACTCTACCCGAGGTCACCCGAAAGGTTGCGGGTTTGTAGACTTAAGAGAGTGTCGCGGCCCAAAATTTTCTCAACCCGCATTGATCGGGTAGGCTCAATTTTTCGGCTCAATCCTACCCTACCCGGCCGATTTACACCCCTAGTAATAACTATTCAAAGTTCTCGCCCACAATTCATTGCAACCAACTGATTTCTCCCAATCTCAGCTTCAGAAACCCTAGCCCCCAAATTTGGGGCTTGATATGCAGTGTTTCGTTTCCCCTTCAAAACGAGGAACTTTGGGCGGAACCGATCGGTTCGTGGGCAACCCTCGTAGTTCGATATAGAAGGAGGAGCTCACGTCCTACTGCTCTCCCTTGGCGATGGTATTCTTTCTCCTTCCCCTGCCATTGCCGTCGGCGGTACCTAAGACACTCTATCCCTTCCTCGCGTTTTTGGAATCTCCAGGCACATCAAAGTTGCTCCTCCGTAGGCTTAAATTCGGTAACTCTCGAAACTAATGCTTTGATTAATTTTGATATTTAGCAAATCTCTTTTCAGTACATGAATTTGAGAGCATAACCAGAACTTTAGGGAAATTCACGTCATAATATTCATATGGCTGAGAAGGATTGATGTTGGTTGGTTGCTGGTTAGACTTTGTTTTGTGCCATTAATGGGTCTTTTTCTTGAGGTTGATCTACTCTTATAATAAAGCTATTAAAGGGTCTGTTTTGAAATTGGGCTTCTTGTAGGTAGAAATAATATTGTTTAGTAATATATATATATGCAGATAATAATAGGCAGTTAAAATTGAGAGTTGTTGTAAGAAATTAAGTGAAATGTGCAGGGAAACATTTTCATTAATGTTCACTATTTCTATACATAGAATCGAGACCTCAAACCAATCAACTAATACAATACGTTCAAACATAGGCTAGAAACTAATATTGATCAGAGAACCTTGGAGAGCCAAACCCGAACACTTATTTTTTGCAGTGTGGAGGTAAGCTGTTCTTATTTTGGTAGTAAGCTGTTTTGCACGTACTGTGGAGCAAAACAACGTTTTGTACATAGTTTATACGATTGCTAGCCCACAATTTTTATGGATCTCTTCATTTTAACACTGAAATGTAATGCCGTTATCTCTTCGCCGAGAATGTGAGTTTATATGTTAATGTTTTGGGTGCCTTTTGTGTTTGATTTAGGTGAAAGTACTGCTATGTGATAGTTCAATTTTTTACTGTACTTTCAGGTACATATACACCGTGGTTATGATGTTTAATTTGTGTATTATAGCCTATTTCCTTATGTCGAGTGATATTTAAAGTTATGACAATAATGTGTTGCCGGTGTATACCATTTCGCTTGGCATATTGTTAAACCTTTTCGGTTCAAAACTCCTTCTTGGTAAGTATGCTTTGCTTCACTCTAACGGCTATCCCCACCAATATGTCAAAGTTAGCTAAACCTTAGTAGCGTAATTGTCATTGCCTGTGAAGTTTGCTCCATACGTGGAACCTTAAGGCCACCACACATTCCTTACATCAAAAATATATACATGGCTGCTTATGGTATGAAATTTAAATGCCATGATTAATATGTGTTTGGAGGCCGTGGATTCTTATGTCGAGTGATTTTCAATGGTGTGATAATTGTTGGTTGCCGGTTTATACAAAAATTCTTGGCATATTGGTGTATAAACTATGTTCATAAGTCACCTTATATGGAGAATTGGTTTATTTAAAGTAAAGTGAGAACTTTATATTATGCTAAAGTGATGCTAAACCTTGGTAGCAAACTATGTCATAGTCTAGGATAATGCTCCATAAAGGGACGATAAGGGCCATTACACATTTATGAGCCTGCTGTTAAAAAATGTGTTATTATAACATGAATTTCATATGCTATGTGCATACGTATTGCTGCCATGTTAGATATGTCAATAGGTAGATGGCCAAAATGAGAGATAGAGATGTAAATTGGAGCCTCGAAGCTAAGGAACAATTGCTCAGGCGTCTCAGTGAGTTCAATTTGTTGAACTCCGCTAGTACCACACCCAATCGTGACAAATATACACAATGGGCGAGCGAGCTAAGTACCCATTTTAACGTCCCACTTAATTGGGACAAAGTTAGTCAAAAAGCTGGACGGTTGAAGAAAACATTCAACACGGAGTTCCTATTACGAACTGCTACTGGTCTTAGTTAGGATCCAATTGAGAAAAAACCAACCTGCACTGACGAATATTGATAACAATTTATCCTTGTACGAGATGATCTTACAAGGTGTCTGTATAATTATGTTATAACCTTTCTACTTTCTTATTGTCTCGTTGCAGTCTATTGTAATGGAAACTGATCGGTTTGTATTTTTTTATGATTTTTAAATTTTTTTTAATGAATAAAAAGGCCTACTTTGTTGTTAAAACATATTGACACTTATGGATGACTCACTTTTATTCTTAAATTTTTAAAATTACCGGATTACCTTTTTTTTAGAATTGTTATTTAATTCCAATTACTCATTCAATTGCATAAAATCTAATAAAATCAAAAAAGAAAAAAAAATCTATGTACTATTCACAACTCAAGTCTTAGTACAAACAAACACAAACTCAAAAAGATTCTCATCTCAAATCATAACTCAAATGTACACAGTCAAACACAAGCTTAAGTTATAATTTCAACTCAAGTTATAACTCAAACTCAACTCAAGAACTATACTCAAGTCACCATAACTCAAAAACGTATCTGAACAAGCCCTAAAACGCTTCCTTCACCCATTTTGGTTGAAAAAGGGAATAACAAAAAATTATTATTTAAAAAAAAAAAGAATGAGACAGTACTAATTTGTTATTATATATGGATCATGTAGATTTGAATTTTATATAATCGACTTTCCCATTTAAAATTGTGTCATACAAACGATTTCCCCTTGTTAGTCTTCTTTAATTCCTCCCTGCACCCGACTGCATCCATCCTTTCAGAGTTTTCACCATGCCAAATAAAGTAACCTCTTCCGGCCATTTCGAAATTAGAACTCAAATTTTTATTATAATATTTATTTTCATAGAATTTTAAATTCAATTATTTCTGTCACAATATTTCTTTCATATAAATTTATTTTTTAATTCAAATTCTCAACTCAAATGTGCGAAATGAATGAAAAATTTATTATTTATGAGAAAATTACAGAATTTACTCTTAAAAGTACGTTGGTTTAAATTTTTATCCATCATTCTTAATTAATACCCTTTTACGAATATAATTATTTGACTAAAAAGGTTATTAATAAAAAATAAAGAATAGATATCCTACACATGCACTCTAAAAGGGTATCGTCTCCTTTCCTCTTTATTCATAGAGGGGTCTAAATATTTCACAGCAGATCTTTTATAGAATTTAGAACAAATTTTATAAATTCTCACTGAACTTTATTACTTGTGTCAACATGCCCCATGAACTTTAAAATGTACATGTTGTGCCTCTTGAACTTTGTCACTTGTGTCAACATGTCCCCTGAAGTTAACTCCGTTATGTTTTTAACGATAATATTTATAAACACCCCTTGAACTTTGTCAATTGTGTCAATATGGCCCATAAACTTTAAAATGTACATGTTTTGTACCCCAAACTATGATATATCTCTAACTTTTCTCCCTCTTAACTCTACTATTTTTTTAAATAAAAATATTGATATGACCATTAAATTGCTATTTATCTATAATATTTTACCATTAAAGTTTGTTAAGTTAATGGGTTTCTTAAAGTTCGTGTTGATTTTTTTTTAAAAGGTACAATAAAATAAATGACCTAGACGCAATTAAATTTAAAAATGCTATATATGTATAAAGCATAAACATGTTTTATGTCAAGCATTTGTATCTAGGTGAAATATTAAGGAAAAAAACTAACAAAATCCATTACATTATACAGATTTGCCCATTATTTTTTCCCTCTTTGTTGCCTCCAATTAATGTTTTGAGAACTAGTGCTTAACTAACATTTTTAAAGGAGAAGACATTCAATAAACCCAAAATATCATAAATAATTAGTAATTTAATAGTCATATCAACATTTCTGTACAAAAAACTAATAGAATCAAGAGGGAGAGGAAAAAATTAGAGACATCATAGTTCGCGGAACAAAACATGTACAATTTAAAGTTCAGGGCGCATATTGACAGAAGTGACAATTCATGTGACATTTATAAATATTTCCTTTAAAAAACTTAATAGAGTTAACTTCAAAGAGCATATTTACACAAATAACAAAGTTCAAAAGGCACAACAATCACATTTTAAAATTTAAGGATATGTTAACACAAGTAACAAAATTCAGGTAAAATTTATAAAATTTGTCCTAAAATTTACCCCTCTTTCAAAGAAGAGTACTGATTTGGGTAATTGAGAAAATTTTTTTTTTTTTTTTGAGGAATTTGATTTTTTTTTTTTAAAGACGAGAAAAAAAGAAAGATGCAAGCCAAGTCGCGCTACACACAACAGTTGCTTGTTAGCGCCCACGGCTTACGCAGATCAAGATCAATAACCTCCATTTAAACTGCAATTTTGTTTAAAAAAAAATAAAAATAAAAATAAAAAATTCTTTTGTCTCCCTAAAACTCACTTTATAAGATGAGTAAGCGCAGTTACGCACTTGATCAACTGAACAGAGCTGCAATAGAAAATAATTCCTGATATTCGTTACATTTATCCACCAATGGTATTAGAAGTCCTGACACTGCAATATTTACAGATGATGAAACTTCACTTATAGTAATAACAACAACCAAAATGATTATCAGAAAGTTAGCATCACTGGACTCGTTACCGGCATATCCTGCTGCATGAAAGTATTACCTATAACCAGAACTAAATTACTAAGAAGAAATTTAATTTTAGGTTATAGTCAAATATTAAAGTTGAACAGGGAAATCCAAGAGCAACGAAGAGTTCTGCGGTTATTTACGAGCGTTTCACTTCAAAATTTGGGCAGAAGCTTCCACTACTTCCGCCCGGCACAACGAGAATCCAGCAACGTGATAACTAGTAAGTTACGCAGAAACTAAAAAGACATACACATGCAACCAAATCACAAGAAGAAAGCTGCACATAGCAAAGCTCACCATAATTCCTGTCCACTGAAGTTTGATCACCTTTCATATGCACCATAGAGAGGAATGATGGCAGAAGATATACCACCCAGCATAGATAAAATTTTAGTCAGCAAAAGCCGCAAGTTAGGCAGAAGCTAAACTAAAATCATGGGGGCAACTGCATACAAATTTCAGGAAGAAATATTGTGTCAAGAGCAAAGCTCACCACAACGTATTCTCGGTGAAGGTTGACCTGTTATCATGTGTCAGAAAGGATACTGCTTCTACTAGTAGAACATACATGTCACAAAGAAAGTCGATTGTTGGCAGCTGAAATAAGAGCTAGCTCATTAGGCGTTACTTCACCACCTTGATAGTCAAGCCCTCTTTGTCCCACCGTGGATATATGTACACGCATTTCAAATTTGCCAACTAGTTCAAAAATGCAGATATCTCCAATCTTCACATCATTTGCACGAACAAAGGCCATCCAACCCCCACAAAAGGTGTGCATGAGTCGCCCTTTTGAGTCTGGAACAGAATTCACAGTCCAACACTCTCCTTTTGAGTTACGAAGGACAACCTCAGTTTTGTAGTTAGGGAGATGCGCTATAGAAAACTGGTAAGGAATTTTCTGCATGACACAAAAATGAAAAGTGAAAGGATGTATTTATCTTCAGAGCAGGAGTTTGCTAACCAACAAAAAATAAAGAGAATCGATGCCCACATACAATATGAACTGCTCACGTTCTGAAGGACTCACCAAGGTATAAGAACCGCTAATGTTGAACTTTTTCATGATCTTAACGAAATTGGGGAAACAAGAAGTGAAAGATCGAGCTACTCGTTCTTCGTCAAGTGCTAACATCATTCTCAACCCACTTCTAGCTTGCGAGCCTAGTTCATCTTCAATACCTCTTGACCTGTGAACAACTGTCACCATTTACAGTTCAGAAACCGATGTGTCAAATATAGTAGCTGTCCAATTATTCATCACCTTTGCTGCCACATTGTTACCCTCATAAGCCCATTATGCATCAACTTTCTTCTTATTATGTGTTTAAAGGTTGATTACATAAATAATACCTACTACTTTTATTTTTTTCCTCAATTTATTTCTCTGTTATCCGAACTACAAAGGTATCCTTTGGATTTGAAATTTTTATTTTAATTTCTTCCATTGTGCACTTTGTGGAAAACTAGAAAATAGGGCAAAAAAATCCCTTAAATAGTTTTTGAAAAGTATTCCACGCATTCAAAGGACACCGTTATAGTTTTTTAAAACAGAGGGATAAATTACGAAAAATTAAAACTAAAAGACATATTTAAATAATCACCCATTTCTATAAATAAGTTCATGTAATTTAGTACCATGAGTTACTATAACCAAAGCTGAAAGAATGTTCTATCCTATGAAAAAGGGTATACCCCTTTGGCACTTCGCTTTTTCCCTAGGATGGCCATGGCAACCTCTCAAAGTTCATTTCAGAACGAATGTAAACACAAACAAAACAAAACTCTAATCTGAGGCATTATCTGAGCAGATAGTTGGAGACCTTACCCAACTTTTTATTCACCGCTTTTGACTGAGAGCAAAGTGCAACTTTAGTTAAAGCTTTTGACGTGTTACCATGTTTCTTGGCATCATTTGGGAAGGCAGCCTCTAGAAGCTTCTTCGAAACTTTTTTATCGGATACATCTAGCATCTTTATGCTTTTCATATGAACCTTAGAAGAGTTCCCCCTCATTTTCTTTGGCACAGCTTTGAAACTCTTATGTGATGTGACACCATGCCCAGCGCCCAGTCTATTAGAAGAAACCTTTCCACTTTGGTAGTCCACCCCTTCCTTTCCAACCCCAAGAATGTGCACACGAAATTCACACTCACCCACGAGTTCAAAAATACAGATGTCTCCAATTTTGATGTCATTATAACGAACAAAGGCCATCCATCCTCCGCAGAGTGTATGACTTGTATGAACTCTAGTAGATGGCACTGAATTCACGGTCCAACTTTCTCCCTTCAAATTCTGAAGGACAATCTTTACTTTGCAATTTGGAAGATGAGCCATTGAAAATTGATAGGGTATGTTCTGTGAAACAATTTGAATAACACATGGACAATAACCAAAATGCCCCGTTTAAAAAACTAAAAACAGGAATTAAACAAAGGGAAAACCCACCAGAGTATATGAACCACTGACGTTGAAACTTTTCATTGTTCTCATGAAAAAAGGGAAACAGGAAGTAAATGATTGGGCCGCTTCATGTGCTGCAGTCATCTGCACACAGACTCTACCATTAACATTAAAACTGTCTCCTTTGCCGCTTATATTCTGAATGGCCTTTGTTTTGAATAGCACAATATCCAAAGCTGCAATAAAATAAATAAATTTAAACAAACAAAAAAAAAAAAAAAATTTAAAAAAAAAAAAAAAAAAAAAAAAAACCATTTTAACACACTGCTTCTAATCCTTTCCACTTTGGCTAACTCTCAAAACTCACGCTACATGAAAAGTAGCAGCACTGTCTGGTGACTATTTAAACATATTTTTTTGGGAAAAACAGATAATAATTTTACAAAATCCTAGAGAACATTTTAGCTCCTTTACCTGGCTTCTCATTGCAATTTTCTGATTGGGAGGGCAAGGCATAACTCTTTGGTGAACTGGCACATTGGTGGGAATCTATGGAGAAATTTGCTTGTTCACATGTTTTAGTCGCAAGCACCCCATCACAATGGCATACTTTCTCACCACATAAGTGTATACGTTCCGAATAGAGCTGAGAAGAGCTCTCTCTCATTTTCTTTAAGACACCTTGAACGATTTTATCTGAAGAGGACATACAGTCCCCCCTTTCTCTTTTCTGCCTCAAATTTTTATCAGAAATATCCTGATTGCATTCAGAAAGAAATGCCGCTTCTTTCTCACATGCACTTTGATCAAAAACTTGCACAGTAAAATGCAAGTCACCATCATATCTAAAGATCAAGAAGTCACCACACTCTACAAAATGATCTCTCACAAATGCTGGCCATCCATAATGAAGGAACAAATCACCATTCTGCTGAACCAAGTCAACCTGCCATGTGTTCCCGCTAGGACCCTCTAGCGAAACCGAACCAGATGTTTTGCCTTCCATGCGTTTCATGAACTTTGTTGGGATTTTCTGCGACAGATTTCAATGGGTCACCCTCCGACAATGCAACAGGTATTCCACCAAAGTACTGATAAGACATAGTCACATTTCGTTTTATAAAAAAAAAAAAAAAAAAAAAAAAAAAAAAAAAAAAAAAAAACGAAATTTTGATAAAACCCCACAACATTGAGCACAAATGAAACTTAAATTGCACTTCATTTTGGCGCATACCCAAAACTCTAAACTCTAGCAAAATGTCCAAACTCCTTGCAGTCGGCAAATCCATGATTAGAGGCTAAACTATTGCTAGGTTACTTCCAAAATAGCTTTCCGGAACAAGAAATTCAGAATGTCCGTTGAGAGTTTTGGTTTTTTAGTGACGAAAAGATAAACAATGGCTTCTTTTCTGCTTTGGCATCATCAATTTCACAACTTTGATCTTCCATTCTAAAAGCATGCAAACTAAGAGGTATAGAGAACTAGAACCAAAAAACAAAAACAAAAACAAAAAAAAAAGTAATTAAATAATTATCTCTATCTACTTGCTACTGTGTATGGTTTTTAACCTTACAACCCAAACCCAATAGCAAATATTTCTCACAAACCCTAATTTCATCCGATTGCTCGGAAAAGGAAAAGAAAAGAATAGTTAGAAAAACGAAATGAACCAAGAAAGAATGAGAAATTAAAGAGTAATGGAGAAAAAAATTACCAGTCGTTCTGAGCTCAGATTAGCAGAATAAAACGCAAAGAAGTGAGGTCTTCTTCCACTCGACATCTTCCGAGCTTCTACTATTTCCATGAAAACGACAATTTGACCTTTTTCTCACTCAGACCTGATTTCGAATCAAACACCGCTCAGCATTTTCTCGAGAAAATATTCTTCGACAGAAAAAATAAAATAAAAGAACGAAAAATATTTAGGGAGATGATGATCAAAATCCAAAGCCGAGACTTTCTTTTTATTTTATATTTTCTGGTTTTTCTTCATAAATAAAAGAAAATCGAAATTAAAGCGATCGCTGAGTGTAGCTGGTTTGGAAACTACTACAGCTTCATCATTAAAAGGAGCGTGTTGACACGCACTCTTGGTTACGCTTCGTTTTTACGGCCACGCAGTTTAGTGTGCGTCGGTCGCATCTACACTGGGGTTTAAGCGCGTGAGAGTTGGAGTTTATGCCTGACAACGCCACATGTAATTACCCTTGATAAGAGAGATACATTGATCCATTTATTATACAAGTACAAATATGAAGGGGATCGATTTGAGTTTTACTATAATAAAAAATTTATAAAATTTATCATATTTAATTTTTTATTATAATAAAAAAATTTTATATAAAATTATATTTTAATTTAAATTAAAAATTTAAATTAATAAATTAAATAAGTCTGAAATATTTATAATTTTTTTTTATGAATATTTCAGAAATATTATTTCTCAAAATTTTTCCGTTGAGTAATGTTTCTACCAAAAAGAAAAAAATCCGGTTGAATGAGGAGACTCATGTTGTATTTGATTTGTTCATTTGCAATTAATTTTTAAAAAATAGAGAATTTATTTTTAAGGGTGTATGAAATTGGACATTTAAACCTTATTCATTTTACTGATTCGAGTTTTCAGTTTTAGGTTTATACAGTAAAAAATTCTCAGAAAATGTCACATCTAACTTTTTTTACTACAGTGAAAAGCTTTCAGAAAATGTCACATCTCAGCTCGAATTGAAAACTCAAATCTGCAAAGTGAACGATGCCTTAATTCTTTCTATTGATAAATACTATTTTATTAATGTAATTATTTACCTAAAAAAGTTAAGAATTCAAAGTAAAAGTTAAAAATCTTAACTCGTGCACTTTAAAATGATATTTGTCATTATTACTCATTAATTTTAGAGAGATTGAGGTAAGTAGGCCAAGATTTAAAATAAATTAAAATTGATAGGTCAATATTTAAAAAAGTTAATATATAGGCTAATGTAATATAAATCTGGATTTACAACCAGCTAAAATTTTAAAAATACCCTATTGATAAATTTTGAATTTACCGTTTATATATGAGATTTACCATTAGATTTTTCACTTTTTCTCTATTAATACAAACTTGGTAAATTCGGGATTACTATTAGAATTTGTAGTGTTTTTTCCCCTACTAATACGAACTTAGTAAATCCTGAATTTACCGTTTATATCCGAAATTTACCATTATATTTTTCACTTTTTTCCTAGTAATATGAACTTGGTATATTCATGATTTACCAAGTATATCCGGGATTTACCATTATATTTTTCACTGTTTTCCTATTAATACAAACTTGGTAAATCCGGGATTTAACAAGTAAATACGGAATTTACAATTAGATTTTTTACTGTTTCCCTAATAATACAAACTTGATAAATTTGAGATTTATCAGGTATATCGGAATTTTACCATTAGATTTTTTTACTTTTTTTACCATTATATTTTTTAATTTTTTCCTAGTAATACGAACTTGATAAATCTGAGATTTATCAGGTATATTTATGATTTACCATTAGATTTTTCACTTTTTCTCTAGTAATATGAACTTGGTAAATCTGAGATTTACCAGGTATATCCAAGATTTACCATTAGATTTTTTATTTTTTCTCTAGTAATACAAACTTGATAAATCTCATAAATTCGGCCTAGTAATACGAACTTGGTAAATCCTGTAAATCTAAAATTTACCGTGTATATCCGAGATTTACCATAAGGAACTTGGTAAATTCGAGATTTATTAAGTATATCCATAATTTAGCATTAGATTTTTCACTTTTTCCGTCCTAATACGAAATTTACTATTAAAATTGTATATTTTTCCCTAGTAATATAAAGTTGGTAAATTCTGAATTTATTAGGTATATCTAGAATTTACCTTTAAAATTTGTACTATTCTTTTTCTAGTGATTCTACCTTGATAAATCCTAAAATATTCAAGATTTATCAAAAGGAAAGGAAAAATAGCAAGAAAAAGTGTAAAATTGTTATATAAAAAAATTAAAAACATGACTTGGGGAATGGGAGTCGTCGTCAAGGGTTTGAGTCCAAAACTATCAAGCCCGTAAAAAAGCCCACCGAGTCCAAGCCTTCCATGATTCGCATTGCCTCTTATGGTATAAATACAACTAAAAATAAAAATAAAATATTTCAAATAAGTAGTTATATTTCAACTCCACTCATATAAACATGCTATGTAGTGTGATTTTTACTCCTTTTATTTTATTTTATTTTCCTTAATTTCCCAACACTTCAACGAAAGTAGTCTCATCATGCCAATTGCCTTATCGCAGCCACATTAGTAGATGCATAATCACCTGATAAGCAAACAACCCTTTTAGCGGGGGGGAAAAAAAACTGTAAAATTCATCGTTGATAACAGTGAAAGCAACAAGTACAAAGCATCATGCCAATTGCCTTATCGCAGCCACATTAGTAGATGCATAATCACCTGATAAGCAAACAACCTTTTTAGCGGGGGGGGGAAAAAACTGTAAAATTCATCGTTGATAACAGTGAAAGCAACAAGTACAAATCAGATTACAAGAAGACATAAGTAGGACCCGTTTGGTAAAATGTTACATCGTATAAATTGTAAAAAGTTTTTGTACATGCTGCTACTTTCACGTTGGTGAAAAATAGAATTACATTATGCATCTAGTAATTGTAGCTCTCATGCGTTTGGTAAGACGTAGAAGTCATGCAGAGTGGAAAAAAGACCATTCCACTGAGAATAGTCCCTCCATAATACACTTAAGTCAGTTTCTACACACAAAATAATAATAATAATAATAATATTATTATCTTGGACTCGAAAAGACCTAGGAGAGCGCTTGTTTGCCATCAACAACGTTTTCCAAGAACCAAATGGGCCATCTTAGCCAACTAACTTTGCCTGCATTTGGATTTTGCATGCAAGTTTGGTCTAAATTGGCTCGTAATCTTATAGCCAATCAGTTGAATATTTGGTTGGTTTTAGTGGGTAGTAGTGGCATTTCATTTTCAAATTGCTTTGAATCGATTTTCCTCGTTGCCCTTTGTCCCCTCATGCATGCCTAGTCTACTTCAAAGTGAAAGTTTAGGTAGTGATAAGATGCCTCCTAATAATCCAAGCCCAATACAAACATATAAGTCTACAAACCAAAGGCCACTAATATATATCTATGTGTCTATATATGAACAGCAGACAAGTCAAATATGTGTATCTATATGTCTGCATACACACACACACATAGCAGACAAGTCAAATGAATAAGGTAAAGAGGAATCAAACAATATTCAACGATGGATATCCTTGAACGCAACGAAAACGAGATAATAAGACAGTAAAACGAGAAAAGGGATTCTCCAACATTTGTTCGTATTATGCACAAGATAAAATGGAAATGGATGGTCCATGTTACGACAGAGATTTTTCGATGGGAAAATCGACTAGTCAAAACTCATGCAAAACCCACATGCCTAACTAGTAAATCCACATGATCTCTAAAGCTATCCCCCTCAACGACTTGCTTCTTTCATGGGACCAACACGCCAACCTAACCATTAGCAGACAATTTCTCTTTTTTCTGTACCAGAATATAAGTTTATTTATATTTGTTATTTGTTATTTTTTTCCCCTTCTCAAAGTCATCGTATGTCGTGTGGTATCTCCATTGTGCTTAGTGTTCCAGTGCTACAAAAATAATAGATTTCCAACAATATGCAGAAATAGTATAGTATAGTATATATAATATGTGGGAGAGAAGACTTTGGATTTCTTTCTTCTTTTCTTCTCGGTTTTTTTAATTACTTTTTGGTATTTTTGGGAGCGGTAAATGTGTTGACAATAGTGGAAGATGCATTCACAATCCAAAACCATTTTAGTTTAATTTGGAGTTTCATTCATGTAACTCTCTAAACTGATATGTTTTGACTATTTAGGCAAACTCTACAAATACAAGTGATGACAAAAAATACATTCGAAGATGAAAAAGAAGCAAGAATAAACAAATAAATCCTTCTGCTCACAAGGTATAGCCAAATGGACAGATCAATGGCAGATAAAAAAACCATCCGGTCTGAAAAATCCCACTCTTAGGATTCTGAATCTTCAGGGACTGTGGATAATCCATCCCCAACTTCAACAAAAGAAGGATCAAGAAACTTGGCGACGAAAGCCCACATCTTATAGACATCCTCAAAGTTGGTTAGAAAACTGAGCGACGCAGTAACGACTTCTACGCGAAAGAACGCTCCCTTTCCATCTTGCCTGCCATTAGCCATTGGCTTGCACAAAGATGTGTCTTGAAGGTCCCAAGCTCCACATTGCTGTTTTGGGCTATCTACTACTCGTACATGACTAAGTATGCCAATGCCGAGAGAAATGCCATTTTTCTCAGCCAACTTCTGTACAACTTCCGGGTGAATTAGCCCTCCTCTTCCGCTGCAATCTCTCACATTGAAAGCCACAGCAGCACCTCTTTCGTACTTGATCTTAGGTCCATATATTTGCACAAGAGGCAATCCAACGTTTTCATTTGAACTGTCGGGTAACCGAAGTTGAAGTAGAGAGGTAACAAGCCAATTGATGAGATACCGAAGTCTAAGGGTAGTCTTGTTCAGACCCAACATGTTGATGTGATCAAGATGCCGGCAGATAATCTCGGGCTCCCTCCTCCCCCACTCTTGCTCATCGCCATACTCGCTGTCACTCATTGAGTCGTAATCTCCTGGGTTGGTAAGAGATGTTTCCCCGGGCTCCAGCGTACGACTCAAGTTTCCTCTGCGACTGTCTTCTATGCTGAAGGATATCCTGCTTCCCATGCTTGCATCCTGGTCACTCTCTTCCAAACCAAAAAACCTACCACCAGCAAATCTATTTGTTTCCCTTCTTCCCAACAATCTGAACTCGCCTTCTGTTTCTCTCCTTATAGCACTATCCTTGGATTCTTGGCAAATTTCGGATGTTAAGGACCTGTCAAGAGTACTTTGCTGAATAGAAGACTGGTTCTCTGGCCTGAATCCATCGTCACCAGAACTTAACTTGGAATGCGCTGGAGTCGAGTGTGCTCTGGCTTCAGGTTCATCTTGAATCTCCCCTGCATATCGTCTTTCGGTTTCTTCCAACTGCTCCTCTTCGGGAATCCCTTTAATACGGTCAGCCTCCTGTGACACTGACAATACAGCTGCATCAAAAGACATAATGGGATCTTCATTCGGTCTAAGATTCACCCTCCTGTCATCATACAATGGGCTTTTTGGCATTTTTGCTGTTGCCTTCGGAGAGTCACGCCTAGCTTTCCTCCTAGAAAACCATGACGGCGGCAAGGGTGACCCTGATTTCTGTTTCATCAATTGGCCAGAATTATCCGACCCAAATGGACTCTGACCCAAATCAATCCAGAAAGAGTTATCCGATGACTCGTCCTCGCTGAAAATTGGACTCTTCATAACCTCTCCAACTGAGATGTTATCAGCCTCCTCAAATATGGTACTCGCCCCATCCCTATCTGAGCTGTTATCCTGATCCATCTCTGTCTCAAACACATCCCTAACCTGGTTGGAAGTGAAGACACCCGAAAAGGCGGGCATCTGAGACCCCCCTTGCGTTTCAGGCAACAATTCCTCATTACCATTGACTGTATCATTCTCAATTCCAGCTAAAACATCGAGACCATCAATGGAATCACTAAGGTACTGCGGGAAAACTGGTACAATCCTCACCATTCCAGACCCGGTACACCCACCTTGACTTTGCAGACTTCCCATAACAGATTTCTTAATCAGAAGGCAGCCAAATCCAGTTGGGTCAGAGCCAAATACTCTATAAAACGAAGTGATAATAAAATCTGGCCGGAATAGAGAAAGCCCAAGTGAATCCATGTCTTTAGGACCCAATGAACCAGCATCAAGCAACACATGCCAGTTATTTTGTTGAGCTAGTGCCATCCACTGGTACGAGTACTTGGCCCCGGTTACTCTAGACTGAACGGGAAATACGAAAAGCCCGACGGCAGAATCCTTCTTCCTCCTCCTCTTGTTTGTAATTTGCTTTCTCAGCTCCCTAGAGCAAAGCTTCAAGGTTGGCCATTTAAACCAGGCACTTTGAACCTTGGCGCCTTTCTCTTTCGCACTCTGAGCCATCCAACTCACAGACTGGCTCTCGTGGTCGAACATCGTCAACAACTTCTTATTCGTTTGAAAAGGGTAAGACTCAGCAAGCAATTTAAAGGCAGACCCTCTACTAACAGTAAAAACAAGGCCATATTCATTCTCAGGGATGTTCAAATAGTCCATAATCCTAGTCTTAATATCATGTTCCGCAGTGCCTTTCTCAGCACCTCCATACAAAGCATGGTTACTCAAATTCGCAGTTATCTCAGACAAAGTAAATGCTGATGACTCCCAATATTGCTGAGTCTGAAGATATGAAAACAGCCCAAAGCCACAGTAATCAAGACATACCTTTGCAAAGGTCTCGAAAAGATGGCCATACTCGTCTGATCTCAAGTAATCAATCTTCTCGGAAGATTGAAACTTGGGGTACATTGTGAGGAACTTGGAGAAGGCATCATTGAGACTGGGAATTGAGTCCTCCGACGAGAAGATTCGGTCGGCGGCGAGCGCGGTGGCGCGGAGAAACTCCTTCTGGGCATGGAGTCTCGCAAGAGACCTAGACCGCCCAAAGCTTCTGCTGTTTGGGTTGTTGTCATCTTGATTCGGGGTCTCGGAATCGATGTCTTGGGATTTCACTAGAGACCCGTCTTCGGATGCCTCCTCAAGAGCCTCCCTGAGCTTGTTTTCTTGCAATTGGCGGAGAATTGAGGGCTTTGATCTTCTCCTGCCGTCCTCGGTCAAACCAGAACCGTCTCCCCTTCTTGTCTTCTTCTCCATTATTAGAGCCGCACAGTGAGATATTGGCTTCCATAGTGAAAGATGCATGAATGCTTCTCTTGTTTGTTGCGTTCTTATCTTTCTCTCTCTTTCTCTCTTTCTCACTTAAAAGAAACTAGTCTGTAACCAAGTACAAAGAAGCCTAACCCCAAGTAAAGGCGAAATCAGTTTCAAACCCATGAAATGGAGAAAAGCAAAAGGCAGAGATCAAACTCTTGCTTTTTTTTTTTCGGTTTGAAAATCAAATTCTGAGCTTTAATAGATTCAGTCCCACCGCAAACTTTAGCCAGCCATGTTGAGGAAGCATTTAACTTTACCACCTAAAAGTATTCAAATCAAAAAACAAACAGCAGAAACAAGATTCTCCCATTTAGACTCTGGACACTTTGGTAAAATCAATAACTCTCAGTCTTTAAGAAGAGAAAAAGAAGAAAAACAAAATAAATAAATGAATAAATAAAGAACATCTTAATTAGGCACGTACCTTTTAAATGCGATCAGAGAGAACCCAAAACTTTTAGCATTCTCGAAGAGTTCATAAATTAGTATGAAATGGGCTAATCTTCAATCCGAATTTGGAAATCTCCATTAAAATAAACAAAACCCCACTTTCTTTTCAACCCCACCAAAGACCCATCTTTTCTTTTCGCCTCCAAAAACCAAAACTTGGGTATCAAGAATTCAGCATTCCCCAAAGATTCAAAGCAAAAAATACCCAGTTCAGAAACAAAAATGAAAATTTTTTTGTAACGAAACAGAGAGAGAGATATTATAAATACAAAATCACGAGAGTCGAGCAGATTACACAGAAGGCTCTCCAACAACTCCTCGCCCACTATCAGTAATCTAACACCAACCACAATTTTCTTCTTTTTTTCTTTTTTTTTTCCTCTCTCTCTTTCTCTTTCTGGAGAGTTAATAGTTACACAAAACCCATCTCATCTATTTCCTTGTCTTCTCATTTACTACGACAGTCAATACAAACATGTCTGCATTTAATGCTCTGCTCTTTCTCTCACTTCTCTCGCCATCATTACACCACCTCCCTTCCTTTCTGTTTTTTTTTTTTAAAAAATTTGGGGTTGTTTTTTTTAGCGTAATTTTTAAATTAAATTTGAGTTATAATTTAAGTTAAAATTGTAATTTAAATAAAATTAAAATTTAAAAAAATATAAATTTAAATAAAATTAAAATTAAAATTATATTTTTTTTTAATTTTTTAAATATACACCACCTCCCTTCCTTTCTGTTTTTTTTTTTTAAAAATTTGGGGTTGTTTTTTTTTGTGTAATTTTTAAATTAAATTTGAGTTATAATTTAAGTTAAAATTGTAATTTAAATAAAATTAAATAAAATTAAAATTTTAAAAAATATAAATTTAAATAAAATTAGAATTTGAATTGTCTTTTTTTTAATTTTTTAAACAAAAAACATACCCTTGATTTCCCAATTTAACCCCTGCAAAGGACGGGCTCTTAGCTGGTCCCTTTTGTAAATTCAAAACAACAGATAAAGATCGAGTGTCTTTGAGCATAAAGGGCTCAACGCAAATATCGGCTCTTTAGGGGTGTTTTGCCCAACTTTTTACAATTTGACGCAGAATGTTTGAGAAAAGTCGGGGGTCTCTGCTTTGACTTTATGTACATTCTCTTTCATTTAACTTAAAAGATCTTTTTTAATACGTTAATATGTTAATATTTTAAATTTTTTATTTATTAAATTTATATAAAATTACATAAAAATTAAAATTATATAAATTTAACAATTAAAATTTTATTAGTGTGATCAGAAATATATAAGTATTTGGTGAATCTTTTTTCAAAATTACTGTGAATACCAAAAGTAGAAATTTAATTATTTGATAAATTATGTACAAATTTATTGTGAAGATATATAATGACTAAAATAGATATGTTTTAATACACATACTTATAATTAGTTTTATTTCTATTCTTATAGTCAATATTCATAATATTTATACATTACAATACTAAAAAAATTTATTTTTCATTTTATTAGTTAAGATATCTCTAAAAAAAATTTATTTTTCATTTTATTAGTTAAGATATCTCTAAAAAAATAAATTAGTGTTATTCAATGAGATAAATTATATATCTATAAAGAAATTAAATAACATAAAGAACTGAAGGTAAATTATTTTTTTAACTTGTAATATTATAATAAAAATATATTATTAAAATTGAGGATAATATATTTATTAAAGATTTTTAATTCTCAAATAAACATTTAAAATAAAATATATTCTTTAATTCAACTTGGAAGAAATAAAATGAATTGATTGAAAATTAAGTTTTATTATTAGAGTCGTTTTAGTAAATTTAAACAATGACATCAAAAGTAAGTTGCTGTGGAAAAACAATGTGGCTTGTTTTTCAAATTTTATTATGAGAGAATAGTTTTTAAAACTTAACCAAATAATCTGACGTGTTGTACCTTCTTAAAAAAAAGTTAAAAACAACCTATAAAAGTAATGCTAACCCAGCTCAAAATGCTTTAGGCCAAGTGCTAATTGTTAAGTGCTCAAATGAAAAAAGAAAGAAGAAATATGTCGGTTGAAAAGAGGAGTAAAAATGTAGAACAGTTATTTTATTTTATTTTATTTTTTGAGGAAAATCAAGATCTTAAAAAAAATTAATAATAAACTAATTGGTTACAAATTTACAATCACGTTTAGCTAGCGAAAAAATAAACTTCTTTTTTTTTTTTTAATTCAAAAGCATAAAAAAGTAACATAAAATCCAAAATCTAATAGCATTAAGGCCACACGAAATACCACATGTAAACAAATTCAACAAACCAAAAACGCAAAGAAACATTAAACAAGCCAGATAAAAGCATAAATTAATCAGGGATAATAATTACCGCTAAACAAAAACACCGTAAAAATAAAATAAAATAGAAATCCCAAGCTATGTTGACGAAGATTCGAATATTGAACGATTGTTAATAAGATTCCAAAGAAAAAACATAACACAACCAAGAGGTAAGTGACGTGCCAAAGCGCCACCTAAACAACGGTGTGGATCCCATGCACCACCGCTTCGACACCATAGCATTATATCACATCCACCACAAGGTGCCCCCACACCACAGGGTCGAAACCCCAAATATCTCAACTCATTGTTGTACAACGGATCAAGAACAACAGCCTAATCCTTCAGTTTCTCATCTCTAACTCAATATTGATTCGCCTTACTTGTAACCTACGCTTCGTTTAGTAAGAATGATAGAGAGAATTATAGTAATTTTTTATGTCGTTTAATAAAAAAAAAGATGAGTTGAAATAATAGATGATAATTATTTGTTTAATTATTATATTGTTCATTTTTATTATTTGTTAATAAAATGAAGACGATTGTGACATAACACTGATGATCATGGAGCAATATTGGGGACACAGAAAGTGCAGTGAAAAATAATAAAAAAATATTAACTTTTTTTAATAAAAAATATGTTTATTTTAAATTTAAAAATCAATGATTTACATGATTGAAAGATGATAAATTAGGAATACATTGGGAACTAATAATTGTCAAAAACTAAATTAATGATTTTTTTATCAATCAATATATCAAAACTTAATTAATATTTACAAAAGTAAATGTTTAAAAAATCACATATTTTGGGAAATCCAATTTTTTAGTTTAACAAATCTAAAAACAATTAGAGTCCGTTTGGAAAGTATATTCAAACCATGATTATTTATTCTAACGTTTGAAATTTAAATTTTTTTTAGGAGAAAAATACTGTAGTAGAATCAATAATTTAAGTTTGAGTATATGAAACAAACGAGTCTTTACTTTATATTTTGAAAAGGGTTTCCAACGTAATTTTTTTTTTAAAGATAGAAAAAAGTATAGATAGAAAATAAAAGTGGTGTAGTGTAGTGTAATGTAGTTAGAGGTATAAATTATGGCCACTAAATAGGAAAGAAAGAGGAAAATAGGCCAAGACTTGAGATGAATTAAAATTAATAGGCCAATAGTTTACATAAGTTAATAAATAGGCCAAATTACTGTTTTCGTCCATAACTTGTCTAGTTATGAACCATAACTTGACAAGTTATTGTCCATAACTTATCTGGTTATGAACCCTAACTTGACAAGTTTGTCCATAACTTATCTGGTTATGAACCATAACTTGACAAGTTATGACCTATTAATTTCTATAACTAAAAATTAGCCTATATACTTTCTTAAGCTTTTCATATTGACCTATTTTCTACTATTTTCCAACTAAATATAACTCTTCTTGACTGCCCGATAGTAAAATAGGGCCGGTCCAAATTAAAATAAATAAATAAATTTTAGACCGACTGTTCGACCCGATCCAAAATTGACAATTCTAGTGGGGGTCCCTTGTGCCACTTACCACACCATCCAAATTGCACTTAGTGATCCAAAATTGACAACTCTAGTGGGGGTCCCTTGTGCCACTTACCACACCATCCAAATTGCACTTAGTCACTAGACTTTTTACGTGCATGTGTGTCCCTACCATCACGGAGCTGTCACGCTGTGGCAAGTTTGGTTAGCTGAAATAATTTCCTTTCTAGGAATAATCAGAAGGAAAGAATATGTATAGTAACGATTTTGATCATTATAACAATATACAGCGTAGATATTGTCGAGAGTTTGACTGTGTTTGGTCATCGTTGATTGTCAAATCCTTAGTTTTATGTCAAGTATGCATCCAGATTACTCCAGAGAATAGAGATCCAAATCAGTTATAACAAAAAGTAAAGTACACTTTTGTTTAGCCTAAATTATAAGTTTCAACATACCATTTTTTTTAATGCAATTGAATATTGTTTGCTCACTGTCACGCCCCAAAAACGGGGCATGATTATTTAAAATGAAACACAAAAATAAATAATAATCACCGGATTTACACTCTAAATCCAAAATTCATGAGAAAACACCTCAAATTACCATCTTGATAATACAATATTTTCTCAAAATTTTACATGATCGATACCAATTGTACGTTACAAATATTGTATAACAATTACATGAATACCGAAACTTAATTTATACCTCGAACCTCAAATTCACCTCTAGTCACTCCAAAAGCTTCACAGACCTCTTCACCAATTGGGAGAAAAATTAAAACAGTAAAACGTGAGCGAAAGGCTCAATAGAATATTTTTCAAAACAATTGAAATAAGTAAACAATTGTAATAATTAAATCATAAACCAGGAACAAGAGATAATCCTGAATATCAAAATAATATATAAAAGCTCAAAGATATTAATTTCACCAGGCCATCACCACGCTACAGGACAACATACAAACCTATCAGACTACATAAATATCTCAAACCCTTTAAAAACCAGAAAAACAAATCATATATATATATATATATATATCTCAATATAAATTACATTCAAATTTCTTAAAAAAAGTAGAAACATCACATGAATCTCATGAGCCAAAAACAATTAAAATAAAACTGCCAAAGAAAGGATATAATCAATATCCTACCATAATCCACTCTCTTCTTCCTCGGTTTCCTTTATGAGATTCTCTTTTCTGTGCTTCTATTTGATTTGCCGTTACAACTCCCTTCTCAATTCTTTCCTTTCCTTTCTTTTCTCCACTTGGTTCATACTTGTTTATATTTTACTTAGTTCTCTCTCTTATTTTTGCCGGATCTCTCTCTCCCTCTCTTTCTCTCTTGTTTTCTTTCTATTCGGTTGCCTAACTCCCTTCTCCTTGCCTCATAAGTGTGTGTGTATATATATATATATATATATATAGTTATAGAAAAAACCTACCTTGCAACGTCAGACAACAAATAGGCTCCACGTGACTACTGTCTTATCATGTTAGGCAATAAATGGGCTTCACGTGGCCACTGCTTTGCCACGTCAAACGGCAAACAGACGCTGACGATGTTTCAAAGATGAATGTTTGTGGTAATGAGAAAGAGACAGACTATTCCAGGTTCCTTCAAGGCAATTCTTGAAGAAACACTCAAGAACAGTAAGCTTGTAATGTGTAGCATCCACAATGT